TGGTTCCTCAACCACAATAGGAGTCGGAGTAGCCTGAATAGTAGAAACCTATCCCCATTAAAGGGGAAGTCCTTAATAAAATGCCCAGCTTGGCCACACTTATAACACAGTCTTTGTTCTCTCCTGCAAACCCCAGAATGGGCTTTTCCACATATAGAGCATTGAGGAGCAGATTTAAAATTTCCAGGCTTAGAATTTCCTGCCTTTTTGAACTTACCATCAGACTGTCTAACCTGCAACCATTTTCCTTTAGAATTCCCAGAAGTGTTTTTAGGACCAGAATTAGGAGCAGCTTGGTCCTTGTGCTTCTTTCTATAGTACTCTTGAATATTTTTACACTTTGTGATGAGTGCAGCAAAAGTATCAAAAGAGTGTCCTGCAAGTTTTTCAGAAATATTATCATGTAGTCCTCTCTGGAATTTAAACACCAAAACATTCTCAGTAGGTGGAGCTCTCTGAAAATGAGAGTATTTCGCCAGCTTATTAAACTTATTCAGATATTCATCAATAGACATCTGCCCTTGCTTTAGTTCCTCAAATTCACCCTTCTTCCTTATCCGGGCCTCCGCCGAAAAATATTTCAGCAAGAATTGCCTTTCAAATAAAGGCCAAGTAATAGCATGACCTTGACATTCCAAGGGTTGACGAGTATTTCTCCACCAGTCGATTGCATCACTCTGCAACATATATGAAGCATATAATAATTTCTGCTGGTCGTCACATTCCATGACAGTAAAAATACGGTCCAACTCTTCCAACCACTAAATCGCAGCAATAGGATCAGTGCCACCTTTGTAGTGTGCGGTGCATGTTTTTGGAAAGCATTTAACATCCTTTCTCTCTGCTCTCTATTAGTGGCTGGAAGTGCCATGCCACCCCTGTGACTGGATTCTTCATTCATATCATTATTTCCTTCACCCTCCACTATAATGGGAGGAGAAGGGGGAGGAGCAGGCTGTTGTGGCTCAGGCTGTGGCTGTTGCAAAGGCTGTGGCTGTGGACCTTGCCCTCCAGCCCTCACCTCAGCTAAGAGCAATCTCATCATCTCAACATTAGCCAATCTGATTGTTGTCATCATTTCTTGATTAGCCAACCTATTGGCCTCTAACATATCTTGATTTGCTTTCATCATTACTTCCAGCTCTCGCTGCCTAGCTGCAGCCATATTTTGTTGCATTGCAATCAAGGCCGTTATCATTGGATCCGGCTGCGAAGTACCTCCCCGCTGAGTTACACGGGGTATAGCCAAATCTGCTAAAATCGGATCTGTCGGGTCAATAGGAGGATCAGAAATCCTTCTTGGATGAACCATAATTCTGCATATTTCACACAAAGGAATGAGTTAGCTACGCTCACACTCAGTGATCAGACATGCATATCATAGTACTCCAAGAAAAACTCAAGAATGTCACAACCCGAATAGTTCATGCAATATTTCACAGGCTCTCCTAGAGAAACTGCTCTGATACCATAAATGTAACATCCCTGTCTCGAGCCGGTTCAATTAACATACATATGATATAAACAGAAACAGCGGAAGACTTAACTTACAAAAATACGGGTTAACTTTTTCATTTTCTCATTAGGCGTAAACGAAAAATCGGACATAGTAACCTCTGTAAATCAGACAACTGGGGATTTTCCAATATCACTCTCAAGAGTTCCTGATAGACAGTTTGAACAATACATATATCCAGAAGTACTAGTCATGCAAATATACTTAGATACCCATCTATGGGTGCATGCAGAACCTAGCTCCGTGCCACTAATCTAATAGCATGCAATCCAATACATAACATAACTGAATCCTACCTAGTCATATCAAGTTATCAAATAGCTCTATATGAATGCATCTATACAAAGCATCAAAACAACAGTCATACAGTCCAACCATAGTTCCTCAACCATGGTGGAGCACTCAAGTAGGAAAAGACTCCTTAAACATAGAGCTTACCTCTTGAAGCTTTTTCAATACGTTTACTTGTGGCACAAGTTACTTATATATCTTCAAGAGATTCTGATCCGTTTTAGTCCTTAGGTACACCTAGAGAGAGAATCCGAAATACAAATCAATAAAATGCCATCATGCCTAGATTTTCATAAGGCATACATTTTCTCTCTTATTTTTGTTTCTTTACATTTTTGCCAATCATATGCCAGTACACAAGTTCAAGACCATTTTATTATCGTTAATGTTCCCTAAATTAACTGAGTACTCAGAAGGGAATTTCCAACCTATTTCAAGCCATTATTTTCTCTATAAGGCCGTGGGTACACATAAAGGGAACTAATATTTCTTTCAACAATTTTTAAGTCATTACCATTCTTTAACTCATCCATTTCATACCTTGGGAAACTACACATTTTATTAAAATAAAATGTAACAAAACTACCCCTAAACCTACTTCAATGGCCGAAATCCAAGGGGAGACCCCAAGGTTTTTCTCTTCTTTTTATTTCATTCCTTCACTTAATTTAACAACTACACATACATAATTGTATATCCATCAAGTTCCAATTTAATTTTGGAATATCAAGCCCCTCAAAAGACCCTCAAGGTCGAAACATAGGAGTATGATCCTTAGGATTTTTTCAACTTTGGCATTCTCATTAATGCATCAATTTTCGCTCAATTCCAACACAATAAACCTTCTCAATACATAAGATAAATTTTTGCACAATAGGCCCTAATTACTCCATGAAGGTCGAGGTCTAGGGAAAGGAATACATGGGAATTTTTCCAATTTTTTCAACATACAAAAGATTATTTTCCTATTCCTATCTCCAAAACATACACCATAAATCATCATTTCACATTTTAAACTAGCCTATCTTCCACCTACACATGCTCATAATTTTTCATGGCTCAAATCATCAAAATACTATCATGGAAGTAGGGTTTTATTACCTCCAATAGCTTGTACAAGGTCTGGGAAGCCATCTCCAAGCAAAGCTCCTCCCAAAATACAATTTTTCCTCCTTGATGAATAGTGACACAAAAATGGGGGGAGGAAGAACTCCTCACACACTCAACTATAGCTCAAATTGATCGGTGGAATGGATTCATTGGGTGGTTTACAATTGATTTCATGTAGTGGACTTTGTGATTTGGAGGATTGATGATGGAGAAATCAAATAAAACAAAATTGAAACCCTAAGCCCCTTCCATGTGAGAATAGCCACGGGAACGACAGAGAAGAACAAAGAAAAAACGCGCAGGAAAGAGAAATTTAAAAAGGAGTTACGGTTTTATAAAGTTAAATTATTTTAACTGGGTAAAGGTTTATCTATCTACACACCTCCATTTATTACCAAACTTTACCTAATGGACTAGACTATTTTTATACTAATATTTATATTACTTTTTACTTTCGGGTAACTTTATTTTCCCTCATTTTTACTCCTTAACTGTCATTTTTACTCCTTTTTCACCAAAGGTGACTTTATTTCTTTTACTTCTAATTATTCTTCGATACTAAATCCACAATTACTAGTAAGGGTTATTATAGTCAGTATTTATTAAAAAAATAGCGAAATTTGATAAATTCAATTACTAATTTGGAATAAAAATTCTATAAAAAATGAGGATGAAAGTATGGCTTTTATATGCTAAATCCTTATTCATCAATTAAAAAACTTATTGTTATAAGTTTTAAATTTAAAAAGCCGTAACGTAACTAGTTAATTTTATAAATGATTCGCTATATTTTGTGCAAGGTCCGTCGACCTTACAAAAATAATAATTTTATTTTTAATATATATATATATAGGTTGAATGACCCTTTTGCTTTTTTTTTCCCAATTTGTCCATATTCTAAAAATATACATCAATGTGCTCTTATTTGATCATATTGACCGATATTTACTCGAGTAATTGGGAGACTTACTAGAGTAACTAAGGTCAATTACTCAAGTAAATAAGGGCAATGAGCAACTCAAATTTGAATTCACGAATATTTTTTATTCAAGTCAAGTTCTAATGTCTTGTACATGTACTAATAGATTTGGAATATGTGTTTGCGGGTCTAAAAAATTTGAGGACACTCGTTATTCAATTCTTTAAACCCTACAATGATGTAAATTTTGAAAGGGCATAACTTTTGACTTGATTGTCCGAATTGGGTGTTCTTTTTTAATTTCACGTAACTTGGAATAACAAAGTAAATAGACTAAATATTTAAAAGCCACGTGAACATAAATATGTACATAAAATTTAATTATGCCATAAAGAGCTTGAATGAATATTATTTTCAATTGCTTTGGACACTCAAATCGATGTATGAAGTCCAAATATAAGTGTGTGCATGAAATAATAATGGGGACATGTTGAATTGAATGTGGATTGTCCTCAATAGTAAAGGACCCAAAAACATTCATCCCAAATCCATTTATTCATGTACAAGACATTATAACTTAGTTTTAATAAAAAAAAAATATGGGTTTATTTTTTCTGCATTTACTGCAGATAAGTTATCTGCAGTAAACCTAATACGACGTCGTTTTGGGGCAGAAATCATGGTATTTTTGTAATTTTAATTTATTTCAGTGTTATTATATAGTCTCTATAATTTTAATTTTCTAATCTTTCAATCCCAAAACGGCGTCGTTTTGAAAATAAATGCAGATAACTTATTTGCATGAACTGCAGAAATATTTTTCTGAAAAAATATTCATGAATTCAAATTTGAGTTGGCTATTACCCTTATTTACTCGAGTAACTGATTTAGTTACTGGAGTAAATATCGATTAATATGATATAATAAAAATAAATTGATGTATAATTTGAATAAAAGATTAAAATTAATATATAGTTTTAAAGGGGGAGGGGGAAAATCAAATTTTTATATAGTAGCTACCCCCTTTTAAGTTTTCACTTAATCGTGTATGACTGATCTGATTCAACTTGAAGAACTAGGCCCAATTAGATGTACGACTAGTGGGCCCAATTGACCAACTATCGGGCCTCTTGTGTCATCGTCTTTCTCCGGAAACCACCCATTTTGTGCACGGAACCTCTCTTACCAGCAGAAAACAGTGCAGTATTTTTTCCGAGTTGGATCGTGAGTTTGTGAATCGGTGTGCGAATAAGAGCCATGGGGTTGACGAACTTCGTGTTGACGGTGGCCGGTGTTACCGCCGCCTTTCTTCTTCTGAGGAGTGACGTGAAGCAATCTGCGTCAATATTCAAGCGCAACGTCAAGCACATTCGCAACTGGCTCGAAGAAGAAACCGCTGCTTCTTCCAAGTGAGTCCCACTTTTCTATCTATCTGTCGCCTGTGAAATTCGCTTTTTGTTCGTTAAAAAGTTTGGATTTTGGGGTTGCTTCGATTTTCCTTGTATATGGGTTGAGCTTTTGTCTTTGTTTTCTTTTCGTCTTTTTGAATTTTGTACAAGTGAAAATGGGAACTATGTGATTGGACATAAACCATTGATTAGAAGATTAAAGGGTTTGTGTTTTTTTTTTTTATTATTATAAAAACAAGCACATGGGTTATATACTTTGGAACCTTAAGCTATATACTTATTTTTCGATTTATTTACTTGATTAGGGAGTGAATTCGATTGTGCTAATGTGCTAGCTCAATACCATATGCTTTCTTAAGACGTGTGAATTGTATTTGACATGTTTTTATACTTAGCCGTTTTTACTTGCTTGTGTGAGGCACTGTTTTTATTGCACTAAAATTCCTTTTTACGTTCATGTTATTAGAGTTTGTACTAGTATAGGTAGGCTTTAGATAATTTGTATTGCGGGAAAGATTTATGAAGCTGATGTTGGGCTGAAGAGAGCTGACTTTTGTTATTTTTCTTCTTCTTGTTTGCCCTCTCTTTAACTTGAGAGGTTGATGAGAATAATGTAAGTGAAGTACTGTTTTAACTCTATATTTATAGTGTTATTAGATATTAGGTATAAGGGTAGTTTAGTATTTTAATGATATTTTAGATCTCTCTTTTCTGTTATGCTCTTCTATATATGAGCTCACTCATTGTACAAATCAATTCACCACAATCAATGAAATCAATATTTTCTCTTTACTCTCTTTTACCTTCTAATATGGTATCAGAGCATTTTCATCCTCCTTGAATGGAGGTTCCGCTGCCATCATTTTTTTTTTAGTTTTCTCTTCATCGATCTTTCTGAGTCTTTTATTTTTCCAGATCTGTTCCAAGATCTATATCTTTTCTCTCCCTTTCTTCCAGATCTGTGAATTTTATTTTATTTTATCATCAGAGTTGTTCGTCTCTTTCTACTTTTTTTTTGTTTGATCTCATTTTTCAGCTTCATTCATTCACTTTTCCCTCTTTCTGTTTCCTTCGTCACAATGGGATTGGAGGTTTTTTTTCTTCATCTATTTTTGGTTCGCGAGCAAGTCACCATCTTGCTGTCCTTCGACTCTATTTTTTGGACCACCGTGCTGCCGTTCGAGTTCCTGTAGCAAGTTGTTCGGGTTCGTCGGAACCGGATCTGGTTCACATCTCTGTTCGTCTTCGCGTCTCAGTATGGAGGTCTCCGTTTGTGCTTCCTCCTCCTCCACTTAGCACCGTTCAGCCTAAAGGTCTCTGTTTGCCCTTGTCAGAGTTACCGTCTCATCGTCGATCGCTTGGATCTGCTCGCATGGTTCACCATTCGGGTCCTTGTTCGAGTTGGATTTTTCTCAGATCTATAATTTGTTTTTCTCACCCTATCTCACTATTTTTTTCTTCTCTGGTCTTTTCTGATCTGCAATTTTTTATTTTTTATTTTCCTTTTCCATGCCATTTTTTTTCTCTCTCCCTTATTAGTCGTCTTCCACCTTTTGTCAATCTGTGTCTCTGATGTATTTTCATTTCCGGATCTTTCTATTTTTTTTTCTTTTCTCTTTTTCTTCTCATTTTGCAGGTTTCTGACGATTCATGGAGCTTGTGCATTTTATTGCAATACATCATTGTAGCTTTTGATGAATTTTATTCATGGCTTTTTTATTCTGTAATTTTTTTTTTTTTTTCTGATGTTCTGTTGTTGGCTGTTATTTGGTTTTGCCATTGTTTGGCTTTATTTTGGCTTCCTATTCAGGGGGAGCATTGTTCATGTTGCTGAAGTTTATTTCAGAACAGTTGATTTTGCCGATGTCCACCCCGGCAGTTCATATTAGGTTGCTGATGTCCATCCCAGCCCTTCCTTCCTTTGCTGATGTCCATTCCAGCACTGTCTCTTTATTAGCTGATGATCATGTTATTTGGTTTTTATGTTTTCTTGATTTTTCTTGTTCAAGATGGAAGTTCTCTTTGTTCACTCTCCATCTTGAGGGGGAGTATTAGATATTAGGTATAAGGGTAGTTTAGTATTTTAATGATATTTTAGATCTCTCTTTTCTGTTATGCTCTTCTATATAAGAGCTCACTCATTGTACAAATCAATTCACCACAATCAATGAAATCAATATTTTCTCTTTACTCTCTTTTACCTTCTAATAGTGTATTCATCTAAGGGATACAAGATGCCTTAGTTTTGTGATTGAGATGCTGCTAGAGTTGTTTTGGGTGATATACGTAAATTTTGGTGTTGTTCCTTTTGTTGTTATTAGCCAGTGACTGGAGGAATGCGTTTAACTATTCGGCCTAATTTTTGAATTATTTCAAGTTGTTACTGATCAGCAACATAATATGTGAGACACGTTGTATTGTTTTGTTTTACCGATAAATCATGATGACATTTAGAAAGAGGATGATGAAGGTAATGAAAGCTCTTCTACTTGGTCACAGTTCTTGACGGTCATTTTAACTTTCCAGTATATTTCTGGAATGGTCTCCCCTTTTATTTTTTGTAATTTACAAAAGGGGATGTTATTAGCTTAAATAATCTTGTCTCATCATTAACTGATAGAGATTTACCAATGAATCACTAAATTTTGTGGAAAAATCCTCTAGATTATGCAGCCCTTCCCTTTTGATTGGAAGGGAAACAAAACAACTGTAGTTGTGTGGACTCATCCTGTTTTTCAAATAAAACAGCTTTGTCCAAAATATTAAATAAACATGCAAATCAGTTCACTTATTTTGATTGAGTTGGTTGTTAAATTAGTAGTATTAGGAGTAAACTCAGAAAAGGTTTGTGCACTGTTTTTGTTGTAAATAGTAATTATGTAGTCATTTATTAGTAATTATGTAGTCATTTATTTGTATTAAATAGTAATTATGTAGTCATTTATTAGTAATTATGTAGTCATTTATTTGTATTTATTTAGTCCGTTACTTGTATATTGGGCCAAGCCCATTAGGTCAAAATTAGGTCAAGAAGTCTCTATAAATAGAGACCCCTATGTACAGATTCAAATACGATTCAATAATATTTCAAATACCCTTTTATTTCAAGTTGGTATCAGAGCTCTCGATCCTGAGGGCTCTGCTTCCGCGCCTATTGTCTTTAGAACAAGAACCTTTTATTCTTTTTGTCTCTCGCTGCCATCAGCCGCCACCGGATTTTTTTCCGGGGACCTCTTGGACCGAGAAGATCTCTGTTATACTGGATCTCTGTTACTGTTCATCGTCTCCATTATTCTTCATCACAAGACAGCATCTGTTCACCACAATTGGACCCTTTCCCGGTGGTTTTTCAACTCCGAACAGACCCAGAAAGAACCGCGCTCACCGGACGACGTTCCTCCAGAAATTTCAGACCGGACGGCCACCGCACGCGCCCACACGCGCCGCCCCTTCAACCGCGAGTGAAGCCCACGCGCAGCCAATCTCACCGGCGCGTGGCGACGCGTGAGATCATTTTTCCGGATCGGACCACCGCGATCTTGATCGTCCCTTCATCCTCTTTCTGGATCTGTGCTCCTTTCTTTGATCGGACATCGTTTGGTATTTATTTGTGATTTTTTGGCTTCTTGGAGCTTTTCTTTGACCATTTTCTGTGCAGTATGGCCTCTTCTCAAAGGAGTTCTTTTTCAAAATTTTATGATGGTACCTCTTCTAGACCTAAGAGAGATGATCGATGGTGTTCTTATTGTAAAAGAACAGGTCATATCAAGGATTTATGCTTTCGCCTTTATGGAAAGCAATCTGTCTTAGAAAAGATGGCAAAGTTGCGTGGTCAAGCGCATTTTACTTCCTTTGAAATAACTCCTACACCTAATAAGACCCAACCTGCATTTCGTCCAGATGAGTTGGAACGGCTCCGAACCATTCTTGATTCTATGAGTAAGCCATCTGATACTAGTGCTTTGACTATGACTGGTATGAGCTCCAAAACTTATTCTTTCCTTTCTTCATGTAATGATTTTAAACATTCTTGGGTTGTTGATTCTGGTGCTACTGATCATATGGCTTGTTGTGCTGACTCCTTTACCTCTTATCATCCTACCATTGGAACTCATACAATAGCCGTAGCTGATGGCTCTCATACATCAGTTGTGGGATCTGGTGACATAAACTTACAGCAGTCCTTACATCTTAAGGATGTTCTTCATGTTTCTAAACTCTCCACGAATCTTCTTTCTATTCATAAAATTACAAAAGATTTGAATTGTACTGTAACCTTCTATCCTACCCATTGTGTTTTTCAGGATCTCGCCACGGGGAAGACGATTGGTAGTGCTAAAGAGCAAGGTGGGCTGTACTATCTGGTGTCACAATCTCCTGCAAATAAAGTAACAAATCACATCTTGATGTCTCATGGTCAATCAACTGCTGATTCTTTGATTTGGCTTCATCATAAGCGCTTAGGTCATCCTCCATTTAGTTTACTCAAATCTTTATTTCCGTCATTGTTTTTGTCTAAATCTGTTGAGTCTTTTCATTGTGATGTTTGTGAATTTGCTAAGCATCATCGTGTGTCTTTTCCTTCTAGTATTACTAAGAGTGTTGAACCTTTTGATCTTATTCATTCTGATGTTTGGGGTCCCTCTAAAGTCCCTCATGGTTCTGGAAATAGATGGTTTGTTTCTTTTATTGATGATTGCACTCGTGTAACTTGGGTGTACTTAATGCGTGAAAAGTCTGAGGTACCACAACTGTTCTTTCAATTTTATAAAATGATTGAGACCCAGTTTGGTAAAAAACTCAAGAGACTAAGAACAGATAATGGTACTGAATATGTTAATCATAGCTTTTCCCAATTTATAAGAAATAACGGTATGATTCATGAACTTACTTGTGTTGACACCCCCCAACAGAATGGGGTTGCTGAAAGAAAAAATCGTCACCTTCTTGAAGTGGCTCGTGCATTAATGTTTCAGACACATGTACCCAAATACTATTGGGGAGATGCTATTCTTACTGCAGCATTCTTGATCAACCGTTTACCCACTCGGGTACTTGACCATGTAAGTCCTATTCACTCTATGACTTCTTTTTTCCCTTCTATTCCAACTATGATGAGTCTTCCTCCACGAGTGTTTGGGTGTGTTGCTTTTGTTCATGTTCATAAACATCATCGCAGTAAGTTGGACCCTAGGGCTATTAAATGTGTTTTTCTTGGTTATGTTCCTGATAAGAAGGGCTACAAGTGCTATCACCCTAGTAGTAGGAAATTTTTTGTTTCTATGGATGTTACATTTCAGGAATCTGAGTCCTTTTTCCAAGGTCCTCATCTTCAGGGGGAGAATCCTTCACCAGAAATCTCATCACCTCCCTTCTTTGAGTTTGAATCATCAGTGTCTACTCCTTTACCTATGTCAGTGTATCCTCCACCTGGTCCTGTTCCTCCTGTGTCTGTTTCTCCTTTGTCTGTTCCTCCTGTGTCTGATCCTCTTGTGAGTAATCCTCCTGTGACTGATTCTCCTGTGATTGATACATCAAGTACACCAGAGATACGAAAGATTATGACACCTGAAAGAAGGAAACAACCCACATTGTCTCAGCAGCAACCTCAATCGTCTGAACCACTGGTAAGTCCTGAATCTCATATTTCTGATCATGATGTTAATACTTCTGATGACTTACCCATTACTACTGATTCTGATGATTTACCCATTGCTCTTAGAAAAGGAAAAAGAGCTTGTCCCAAGAAATCTTGTCCCTCCTGTCCCTCTTGTACTCAATACCCTATCTCCCAGTTTGTTTCCTCTGCTAATCTTTCTGTGCAGCACAAAAGCTTTGTTTCAGCACTAAACTCTATTGCAATCCCAAAATCAGTACATGAAGCCTTGAAAGATAGGAATTGGGCTCAAGCCATGCAAGAGGAGATGAATGCATTGGAGAAAAATAAAACATGGGAGGTTATTGATAGACCTACTGGAAAGAAAGCAGTAGGGTGCAGATGGGTTTATGCCCTGAAATATAATTCTGATGGAACTCTTGAGAGATACAAAGCTCGATTAGTTGCCAAAGGTTACTCTCAAACCTATGGCATTGATTATGAAGAAACATTTGCTCCAGTTGCAAAGATGAATACGGTGAGAGTTTTGTTATCCCTTGCTGCCCATTACAATTGGGATATAAACCAATTTGATGTGAAGAATGCTTTCCTCAATGGTGAGTTAGAAGAAAAAGTCTACATGGAAATTCCGCCTGGTTTTGATTCTGTGAAGGGAGAAAATAAAGTTTGTAAATTAAAAAAGGCCTTGTATGGATTGAAGCAGTCACCTCGTGCCTGGTTTGGAAAGTTTACTAAGGTTATGATGACCTTAGGATATAAACAAAGTCAAGGAGATCACACTCTTTTTTTCAAGCACTCCCAAAATGGGAAGCTTACTGTGCTCCTTGTATATGTTGATGATATTATTATCACAGGTGATGATTTTGTGGAGAGACAGATTCTGCAAACACGGCTTGCCTCTGAGTTTGAAGTCAAAGGCCTTGGGAAACTGAGATATTTCCTAGGGATAGAAGTAGCTCATTCGAGTAAAGGAATCTTTATCAGCCAGAGGAAATATGTTCTTGATCTTCTCAAGGGTCGGGTGTAAACCCTTATACTCCTATTGAGCAGAATCACGATGTTATGAAGAGGAGAGTCCTCCAGTTGATAAAGGACAATATCAACGGCTAGTTGGGAAATTGATATATTTGGCCCATACTACAGACTTAGCTTATGCTGTTAGTGTTGTCAGTCAGTTTATGCACGATCCAAAGGAGAAACATATGCAGGCAGTGAGAGAACCAGTCGTACACAGATGCTGATTATGCTGGATCCATGACTGACCGTCGTTCTACCACTGGTTATTGCATGTTTCTTTGTGGTAACTTGGTGACATGGAGAAGTAAGAAACAAGATGTGGTCGCCAGATCAAGTGCAGAAGCTGAATTTCGAGCTATGGCTCAAGGCATTTGTGAGTTACTGTGGCTGAAAATTGTACTTGATGATCTAAAAATAAAATGTGAGGGACCTATGAAGCTGCTATGTGATAATAAGTCCGCTATTTGTATAGCTCATAATCCAGTTCAACATGATCGGACTAAACATATTGAGGTCGACCGCCATTTCATCAAAGAGAAACTTGATAGCGGATTGATTACCACTCCATACATTCCCACTGGGCGTCAATTAGCTGATCTATAGACAAAGGGGCTTCTTTCAGATAGATTTCAAGAACTTGCTAGCAAGCTGGGAATGATAAATATCTATTTCTCAGCTTGAGGGGGAGTGTTGTAAATAGTAATTATGTAGTCATTTATTAGTAATTATGTAGTCATTTATTTGTATTAAATAGTAATTATGTAGTCATTTATTAGTAATTATGTAGTCATTTATTTGTATTTATTTAGTCTGTTACTTGTATATTGGGCCAAGCCCATTAGGTCAAAATTAGGTCAAGAAGTCTCTATAAATAGAGACCCCTATGTACAGATTCAAATACGATTCAATAATATTTCAAATACCCTTTTATTTCAAGTGTTTTCCATATGATTTTCTGGTCCATTGAGTCAACCCTAGAAAAAAGTGTAAGCTATGAATCTTTTCAGATAATAATTTGATGATTTTGGGTTGGATTGCTTGTCTATATTGGGAGAGCATTTGTGCAATACTGCATTTTGAATGTTTAATGGAAATGAATGGTAGAAGGGGTGCATGAGGATTAGGTTGGATTGCCTTTTAGCTTGTTTAATGAGCGAAGAAAAAATGAAGGAAAAAGGATAATGCATAAAATTTCAATTTTACCTGTATGAAAATTTTTAGTTAACAAAATTTAGGGGATAAAATAGTGAATGGCAGTTTTGTTTTATAATCAATAAAGTTGTTCCTCCTCATTAGCCCTGAATTTCAATGGTAATAAAAGGTGCGATTGAGGGGTAATGGTTCCCCTGAATCCTTTCCCTCTTCATAAATTTTTATATTCCTAAATAAGGGTAACTGGGCATGAATGCTTGACTTTATAATGGGTCTTCTGATTATCATTTGTTGATGATACTGTGCAACGTGAACTGGCTATATCATATGATAACTTGGTCGTTGATGGATCATTTGATTATGGTTTCAATACACATGTCTATCCTTTTTTGTTGTCTCTCCCACCGCCCTCTCTTTTACCCTTCCAGTGTTGAATGTAGGTGATGGTTATTTGTTAAGTTCATAATTCATAGATTGTAATATGATTTTTGCTTCTTTTCAGAGCAATGGAGAAGTCCACTCCAAAAGAATTGGAAACAAAGGTTCCTCCAAAAGACATTCCTAAGGAGGACAAACACTAATGTTTATGCAGGTGATGGGGATGTTTGTTGCAGTAATTTTGTTTTTTTCATTGTGTTTCTCTCTTACTGTCTTTGAATAGTTGTATGGTTTTTTTTTTTTTTTTTCACTAAAATGAATTCTTTATCAATATCTGTTAATATAACTCTTGAAGGACCCTTATATTCTATGTATCTACCAATAATGAGAAAAGTTATGGTTATTCCGCATTCCCAGTTTTTAACATATTTGCATGATCTGACTGCTAGAACCATGTTGCCGTAACCTTTTTTAGACTTAAAAATGTTGGCTTTTGGAGTGCAATTTTTTTGTTTTTACTGTAAGGTGATATGAGGTCGACCCTTAGATTAGTAAGATTGTTCCTTTGTGAATGTATGGTCACTTGTGTGAGTTCAGAAAACAACCTTTTTGTAACAATACAAAGGTAATATTGTGTACAGTCAAATTTCACCCCTACCTTTACAAAGTTGGGGAGTATTGTGCATCGGGTTTGCCCTATAAGGTGATATATTATTAAATTATTAGACATGAAAGGCTTAGGTGAGTTAGGTCCTGTTTTGGGAGATTATTTAGAGTGAACCGGGACCACCATTTTTTAGGTGGTCCCTTAGTGTAAATAGGAGAGTAAAATCGGAAAAGAGGAAAAATAATAGGGATAAAAAGGGAAAGAAAAAATTAATGATGTGAGAGGGAGTACCAAAAGATTCAGTGGTCCTGGACCATATTAAATATTTCCCTGTTTTGGACCTCCCGTAGCTTCTAGAAGCAATAGACTCAGATAAGAATAGGATTCATTATCTTATCTCCTAATAGCTTGACTCTCACTGGGACTCTTTACCTACAAGTAACCCAATATGTAAATAATGAATTAAATCTCTGAGGTACACACTTTCTAATCCCTACTCTCTTAGCTATCAATGTATACCAGTGGCAGACCCAGGAAATTTTATTCCTGTCCGCACATTTAGTGGTGGGGTTTGCCCCCAAAAAAATACATTAAAAATAAAATAATATAAAAAAAAAATCAACTTAACATAAAAAATAGTAATAAAGAATAACTAAATTATTATAATAGAACAATTATCTTTTATACACATGAAAATATATGAGACCCGTATAAGATTATGTGAAAATATGAAAGAAAAATAAAATTTAAATTTAATATACTTTTATGTGTGTATTTTATCTTATAATAAGATGAAAAAAATTATATCCATTAATATATTGAAGGGGAGGGGAACCATTCCATTTTCCTTGGACAGTATACGGATACAGAAGAGTTTTTTTTTTATGTATATTGGGTTTGAGACTAATAAAAGCCTTCTGGTCGGACTGGAGAGAAGGCATATCATGAAACTCTTCCTATGTAAACAATTTTTTATTTTTTTTCAAAAGTTCTTGTACGCACTTGCGGACATGTGCGTGTGACTGGGTCCGCCAGTGATGTATACACATGTCGCACCTTTGGCTTCAGCCTCACTATCGTGCACAATGACCTACCACCCTTTTGCGGTATTTCTTCTCTTGACCACTGCGAGACAGCCCTCGCATCGATCAGGTCCTTTCAGGAAAATCCTTTTTCCCTGGCCTGTATCCAAATTCATGCCTTACTTATTTTGCCCCTTTTTTTTTTTCCTTTTGCTATACGAAATGCAAGTGAGACAAAGATTTAAGTGGGGCTCTTTCGTGGTTTGTGTCATCTCACCAATTTGCTTAAACAAACCCAACCCAATCACAAATGATGGGTTGGTTAGGTTCTGGGGGTTAGGTTGGGTCTGAAATCATTGGATCCATTGAGCTTGGGTCGGTTTTATAGGTTTTGACGCTCTGAACGTAATGGAACAGTCATATCCAATTTTTTTTTTTTTAATTAATCATTAGTGATATGTTAATTTTTATTTTTTTAGTAAATGGTTAAATTGTATTTTAGGTCCGTGTACTTTTTGACAAAATTCAAAGAGATCTGTAGTTTAAAATTTGTAATTCGAGAGTGGATTCAGTGACCCAATTTAATTTGAAACCGTCAGGACCCAATTATAAATTTTTTACTATTGGGACCTATTTGAGTTTTCCTATAAAGTACAGGGATCTACATAGTTTAACCTTCCTGAAATGATATTATGAGTCCAGATGCCCTTAAAAAAATGAATTTGTTTAATCTTTGATTGAAATAATTGGTGGGTAGCAAATGGAAAGTGCTCCATCTAACCTCACCAAAAAGAAGTATGGAGATGATGATGACACACTATATGAAGTTTAAACATTAACAATTTGCTTGTGATGGCTTGTAAATTATGTCTTATTGACTTGTGGGTTCATGGTAGATTATGACTTTTATGTTATCGTTTATTATTGCCTTAATGGTTAAGACGCGTGTTAGGATTGAGACTTTGATTTATGTAATGCTTGATTAATTTGAATTTGAACTTTTCTTGGGGTAGTTTAACGATGTCCAAGGACCTAGGGGAAAGGAAAGGGGAATGAGCTGTGCCTCGTGAGTGCGACTCCTTGGCATGGACATGGAATTTTATTCGACCTTATGTGATACGTGTTGGAGCTTTATGAATTCAAGAGTTGTTTATTTATTTTGGCATTTGTTTTAATTTTTTTTATATATTATCCATCAGTTTATCGATTACTTGATTAGTCTGATTTGAGACGGGTAAGATCATATGAATAACAAACACTCTGTATCAAATTTTAACACAACTGAATTTTCAGGGATTCAAACTCAAAAACACTAATTTATCTGAAAGAATCTCTTATAAATTAATGCATCTACTTGGGGGTTTGTTTTAAACCTATAGACCCAGCCTCACCTGGTTTGAGAGAAAAAAGAATATTCCATAACTTCAACCATGCTGGGAAGTATTTTCTTGAGTGGGGTGGGTCTCAAATTATTGTAAACCGAACCTTGAAGACCCTCCTATATTTAAAGATCATTAAGTTGGTAATCTTTCAATTTTTTTCTATCCTAGTGTTGGTTCACGTCTTGAAGAATTGTTCAAAAGTTTATAGTAAACTTTTTAGTTGGTTATAAACTTAATCAACGGTGATTAAGTGGTTGTAAGAACGGATAAACTTTTCTGGCGATAAGTTTATCCGTTCCCATTAATTATTTATAACCTTGGTTAAAACGTAGTGTTCCATAAAATTTTCTCTTGGTGAGCATTGTCGGTGAATTGCTATTAACGGTTACAACTGCTAGGATATAAAATGGTCTTAAGTGATTTGTTTCCTTCTTGGATTAAAAAAGAGGTATTTGGACTCTGAACGCCAATGGTTTACATTGGTGGAGCTAATAAACAAACACGTAGAGCTTGTATCTACCTCAATTTTTAGGTCTTTGACCTATTGGATATCCCAGAAAGTATTATATATGTATTGGAGGTATGCTTTCAATAATTGGTGCGTCCTAATCTACACTTTTTTTTTTGTCAAGTCAATCATAAAATAAAAGACAAAAAATTAACCGTTTCACTTTTGTAATGACATGAGCAAAACAATGAATAAAACATAAGAACATTATAGAAAGTCATACTTTGAAGTGCCTAAATGGCAAGGTCTCTCATAGCTGGACACATATTTGGGTTGTCGGCTTAGTACTTACCATTTAAACTAGGAAAAACTAATCATTGAAGTAGCAAAGAGCTTGTACTATATTATCAGATATTTCGAATGAGTTAATAAATTAGTGTTGAGAGAGTTTCTTCATGGTTTCGACAGTGGACGAACCAAATATAAATAAATAAGGTAGATCATTTGACACCATTATCAAACTTTAAAATTTGACATCAAATCAACGGTGAACCCACACTATTGCAAGTGTGGGCACTTGCAAACACAAGTTTTTGTGATAAATTTTTTTTGCAAAGAATTAAGGGGTGATTGGAACATATCATAATGTAAAATATGCCAAGGTTAAAATTAGTGTTAAGGACACGTGGAAAAGTTGACTAGTGTACTGTTGGAAAAGTCTAGCCACACACCTTTTAGGTATAAGGTTGGCTTTATAACGAAAAATATTGAAATTTATTGGAATTTCTATGAAATGTTGTACAACTCATAATGAAAAAAATTTTACACTCACTTGTGATATATAATTATATTTAATATTAAAATAATAATAAAAATAGGACAAGATTATTTTGCATCGCTATACAAATAAAAATCTTAACAAATAATCATTGCTTGAAATTATGATAGCTTAGTTTACTCTTGATTATTATTTTTTTATGTCAAGTTGAAGTTTTTTTTTTCTTTTATTGTTTATATATTTTTTTAATGCATTTAAAAAAATTTAAAAAAAATTTCAACGCCACTAAATGTGCAGAGATAAGTAAAATTTTCTGGCTCCGCTATTGCATCAAATCCTAATCATTGATTTTCGTCAATCAACAGTTATAATTTTCGTCAATCAAACTTATTAATTAGTTATTAATTTTTACTAAATGATAATTGTTGATTGACAGAAATCAACAGTTAGGATTTGATGTCAAATTTCATGTAATATCATTTTATTAAATTTTTTTAATTATAATCAAAACTATATAATTTTTAATATCATCAATATATTTTCATGATAACGTTTTTTTACCAATTGGGAATCAAAATTAAACAACTCTAAACTTGTTGTATTTTCATTGCTTATGTTTTGTTTTCTCATATTAGTAATGTTTTGAAATTTATATACAATTATTACTAAAAAAAAATACACAAATTCTTTGATTAACTTACATGCATGGGCAAAGGATCGTGGTAATTAAGGGAATGTTTTAAAATTTTAATTTATATGCGATTTTGATAATATTCTTTATTTCTCTTTTAGTTGTCACTCTTTGCTTCTGAAAGGAGAACCTAACTAATATTGTTCCAAAGAAAGAAAGAAACAAATAAAAGAGGACAACTAGTCTCTTTCATATTCTTATAAGAGGTGGATAAAGACTGTAAAATAACCTATTTTTATATTTAGTCATAACATCTTTTCTTTTCCACAACAACTAAATAATTATAATCTATTTTACCGCTGAAAACTACACGTTCTTGCGGACCATATTAATAATTCAACCAAAATGAAACACTACAATCCAGACAGGCATAAGAGTGAAATATGTCAAGTCAACAATTTTCTATCCGTTGGTCCCTGTCCTTATACTTAACACCAAAATATTTTCAGTACTATCGTAAAGAATCAATTCAACTCAGAAGCTTAAGTTGTTGAGTGAGGTTACATTAATAATTTTATATATCTTAACACACCCTTCACATGAAAGCCTACCTATCTATGCGAACAAAGAAATGGTTTTATATATCTCAACATGCCCCCTCACATGAGAGCCCACTGGACTTGAAGGGTGGACAATGCACAAACCTACCTACCTATGCGAACAAAAAAATTTCATTTGAAAGAAAGTGGGGGGCGGCGAGGATTAAACTCGGGACACGAAACTCTGATACCATGTAAAAAACCAATTCAACCCAAAAGCTTAAGTTATTAGGTGAAACTATATTAATGATTTTATATATCTCAACAATAATAAATGTACGATGTTTTTTATCAAATATGAAAAAGAAATAACACATTTACATTATCCTTACCTTTATAGATATTTCCTACCGAACACTGAAAATGTACTGCACGATCACATTCTAAAGCTTCATTAGGTAAAATAGATATTTTGAGTAACTTGGAAAAATAAGGTGGGGTGGTAGTGGAGACAAGGCTTTGGAATTATTTTCCAAATTCGAACCTTTACTGATATTGGATATAGTGTGTCACACCACCAACTTTTCTTCATGTGTTATCAAGGGGATAAAGGCTATCCCAATGGCCATTTTTTTCTGTTTTCTTTCTCAAAGTGGACACCATTTGCCACCTTTCACCCACCCAAAACTATACAAGAACCCCTACTCCCTCTAGTGGCTTCTACCGGGAAAGCAAAAAACTTTTTAACCTTACTTTTCATTGATTTTATCTTGCAGGTTACTTCACTCTTCAGTAATCTCCAAACAATGCCAACTTGAAAGGCCTAGAGCTTTCATTCCTTTCTCTCAGCTATCACAAGCATCTTTTAACATTTTAATTATCTCCCACAAAAAAATCTATTGATTATGTTCTGACACATCAAACAAAAGTAGGTAATAATTAAGGGAATTGTTTATCTCATTTAACATGAGATAAACTCATTTTTCTACATTCACATATATAGGAGAGAGGAGAGAGAATAGAAGAGAGAGAAAAAGTATAAATGGGTTCCACCACTCAATATGTGAGTGTAGAAAAATGAGTTTATCTCATGTTAAATGAGAAAACAATTCCCCATTAATTATCCTGCTTAAGTCAAATACTAATTATTAAATTGACTAACTAAAGCAATTCTATCAGCAGCCATCTCTTGTTTACCACTTAAAGAGTCCTTTGAGTTATGGCCATATGACAGGTTCAATCACAACAGTAACAATCAAGTCTTATTCTATTAGGTGGGATTATCTATCATGGGCTATTATTATTATTTTTTTATTAAAAGCCAAATTTTCAATAACACTAGAAAACTTTAATTAAAGGAAGAAAAAAAATGAACTGTTCAAACTGATTTCATGACAATTGAGAGAACATAGTTGATGGCAGACAATCCATCTCATCCTCCGCAGCAAAATCAATTGTGCCACTACAATTTCAATTGATTGGAACAAAGGACCCTTACTGAAAGCTTTAACAAGTCTAGATTTATTATAGCAGTACACACAGTTAAGTTTTTGAATACCAACAACTCCATAAAATTCCCAACAAAGACATAAGTCATAACCACTCAGCTACCTACTCCCAGAAAAAGGGAAGGGTCAGGGAGTCCCCATTTTCCATCAATCCATCAGGCACCATTTGCAGCATTCCATTGCAATGAAGGTTGGTAGTGTTTGCATCAAGAACAAATACTGGACCATTAGGCTTATTATCTTTTGCACTTTCTGAGCATGAGAACTCGTCCGCAGCATCAAAACTCACAGCTCCTGATGGAGATTGTATTGGACAGGTGATGCTGGATTGCACCAAACTCAACTCTGAACTTTGTGTTTTAAGTGTTGACAGAAGATAGAGAGCACAGCCTGAGTCAAAAGATCCAGGTTTGCCATCAGAAGACAGTTTCCTGCTTCTCTTTCCAGCTGCTGATGAGGCAATGGCACCACAAATGGGAGCTCCAGGCATTGCTTCATTACCATTGCTTATTTTAGGGCCATTTTCTTGCCAAAGAGGAAGTCCCTTATCCTGCCAATGCTTGTCAATTCTATATAAAAGTCGGTGATGATCATAACTGGATTCAGCTCCAGTTTTGGTAGTGGCAGGCCACATATTTCTCATAATGGGGTTTGCATATGCCTGAGGGCTATCAAATTGCAGGATTCTAGGTCCTAAGTTTAGAAAGGCAAGACAGTGCCAAACTCCATATTAATTACACTTGTGGAAGAAATAGTGCAAGAAAAAATATATGTTAGCAGTAACCATTAGCAAAGACTAACACTGGGGGAACATATGTCAGACCAAAATTTCATATTCCTCCATGAAATTTATTGTAAAAGTCAAGACAGATAATCACTTGCTTTATCATGAAAGTTAACCAAATAGTTATGGCTAATTCTAATCTCAGCAGAGAATTCAGTTCATCTAAAAATTTAAAATGAATTTTAGCGAAGTTCTAGTTCTAATTTTATTTTCATAGCTTCATATCACAAACAAGCTTAAAACCAAAGGAGGTATTGTTAGGTGACAACAATTTCTTGTTTCTTTCTAAGTTGGGGTTTATTCTTTGATATTAATTCAATCATATCTTATTCCTGGTTCCTTCTTTCATCTCAATTATCACAATCATAAAATTGAGATCCAGTTAAACAACACCAACAGAAAAAAATCATCTCAGAATCTTGGGATGCCACACGCAACACATACCTTTGTAATTGTACATGAATTTCTCAGCAGCCATGAAAAGAGAAGGTGGCTGAGGTTTCCTCCTACGCCTATTATGCCCATCAAGACGTTTCCTGCAACTCCTCTTGACTTCATCAAATTCCGCAAGTGAATGAAACCTACAACAATTGGCACCACCCCATGTTACAAAAACAACCTCAAAACATATCCAAAAACAACATAATAGAAGGAGATTACCAGCCCCAAAACCTCCAACACCAACATAAGCAACTTCAATTCATACCTGCTGCATTGCTGGCAGAACCTCTGCTGCTTGCCCGCTACCAACACAACAGGGGTTTTGGAGTGCTTTTCACAGACCCTATGTCGCCTATGATACTCTCTGCAATCACTGAGGTCAGAGTTGCATCCATCAACTGAGCAAGACATATTCTGTGATCCATTATAAAGACGGGATCTTTTTGATGACCCAGAAGGTGATGACACAGTTTTTGAGTCTTTTGGTTCCTTAGGAGTATCTATAGCTGATTTTTCCACAGAATCAGAAGCCTCACCAAGCCTCAAATCCACTGAAGCTGCTTCATTCTTCTCCCCTTCCAAGCCACCATTAGCTAGCTCCAACCCAGATGGATCCCAAGCAAACTCTTTCCAATCCCAATCCATGTCCCTTAATTGCTCCCACACTATTTTGATTATTTCCTTTCTATGATGCCAAACCTGCAAGGCACTCACAGAGGAATCAGAACTTAAGCCCCTTTATATTATCACAAAAAGCTGAAGACTTTGACTTGGGAACTCAAAATAGTATAAAGGGGGGTCAATGAAACAACAGAAGAGAGAAAATGTGAAGTGGGTTCTTAGAGGAAGCCAAAGGAATAAATACCCAGTTCCCAAAATGTTAATTTGAATCCATCACAGGCATCAAATTATAAATTAAAAAAATGAAAAGAAAATATTCGGATATTGGAAGATATCCTGAAAGTCCACAGACATGAATGTCACCTCAATCTCAAGCAACTTGGCCTTCAAAGGGGGTTGAAAAGAAATTAATGTCAATTCAAGGACTTTGTTGTTTTCTGCAATAGAAATATAATAAAAAAATTTCACAGAAAAGAGACGAACTTCACCTTACATCTCCTAGATTCTCACAGCTTCAGATGAACTTCCAAGAAAATGGGCATAGAAGCAGCATAGCATAACCCCTGTTTGATGTTTCTCTTTGAGGTGAGTAAATAAGGAGAAATTAAAGGACTTGTTGGAATGAAAGAGTAGCTTACCAACTCTAATTCAATTAACTCTAGAGGTGGAAAATGATGCAGAAGTTGGATCAATAGGAAGCTATTGCCTTTACTCAACAAAAAAATTATGGAAAAACACTGTGATGGGGCGTGTTTATTTTTTCCTTTGTTTGCTTTGTATCAAGTCACTCTCTGCTTTGGTTTTGATTTTCTTTTTTTCTTGTTTTGTTCAATCTTGATTAAAGTAATGACATAAATAGTGCTAATAAAATAAAAGAGAGAGAATGGAGAAAGTGATTGCAACTTTGGACTGTAGCTGCAACTTTCCAGATAATAAACTACAGTAATGAATGAAAAAGTAGGACAAAGGAAAAATAAAATAAAATGTGAGAATGACTACGTGGCAGCTAAGCGAGTTGTGAGTTGTGACTGTGCCATTCAGTTCTGCAAGGTTGAACTTGAACTTGAACTGGAAGAAGCTTAATTGAACAACTAACTAATGTTTCAGTTTATGAGAAATGATAGGAAAGAGAAGTTATTGAAGCAAATTACATATTTTTCAGGATATGATTTGGTATTCTGAGAATTTTTTTTAAAATAAAATAAAATCTCAAGATATGAAACTATATCATAAAAAGTATGTGTTAGCTTGAAATAATTCTCTCCAGTAACTGAAGATTAATAGCACCCATTTTTTATACTTTAGGAATTAGTTTGTTGGTTTACCTTTTTGGTTTTGGTTTTGGTTTAGGATGGTGAAAGTTGATTCCTCACTTTCATCTTAAGTGATTTCTTTAAGGAAATATTACCAAATACTTGAGTGAATTAATTGATATGAGTTGTTTCAGTATAAATTGATATATAATTCTATTAGAAATTTAATCAGGAAAATTTTATCACCCTTATAATAATATTGCTGGAACTAAATTAATCGAGTAATTATGAACTATTGAAAAAATTTAGAAAATAAAATTAATAAAACAATTTTCTAATGCACTTATCTTTATTCGTTCTGTTTGTTTGTTTGTTTTTTTCTTTTCATAATCTTGTGGATGATATAGGGTTTGTTTGTTGAAGTTGTTGGGATAAACAAATAGCATAAATTAGTGCTAGTTATTTTTACTTGGTTCTAAGTAGACAAGTGGAAATAAAAATAGACAAAGTTAGAAAGAAAAACGACAGATCTAGGTGTGGGTTACATATTAAAAAAATCATTTTACCACATTAAGAAAAAAGGTAAATTAATGTTGTGATCTAGTTGACTTCACCCATATATAAGAATTAACTTGACTTCACCCATGGATACAGTAAAAGCTGTCACCAACTAAACCACTTATTATATATTTCGTAAAAATCTCAATTAATTTCTCAAAAAATTAGCAATTGCGTCACTAAGCAATGCTTGTTTCATTTATGAAAAGAAATTGCTTGTTTCATTTATGAATTTGTTTTCTATAATATCCTCAATGCTCTTTCATGAATCTCTTAATTGAATTTGAGAACATTTGTAATAAAATTTTCATTTGAGCCATCTAAGGGAAAATAAAAATGGTAACATAATGAATAATATAGACCAATCCCAACATGTGGGTTTGAAGTGCAATTTGTTCAAAAAATTAATAAACGTTGGAATAAATAATTTTGTTTGGCTTGCATTACTGAAGATTCATTATTTCTGTTGGAAATTTAAGTATGAGTATTGAATTTCACATTGGTTAGAAATAAATTAAGGGTTATATCAGTAGAGTCAGTACTTTAAGATTTTGGATTAATCCGAGCTCACGCATTATAAAGAGTTTATAGCTTAGTCCATTTGATGGTATATTTTTCTACTGTCATGGGCTCCCTCAGTTATCCAATATTGATATTAGAGTCAATAATTGATTGACTCTTGATGTAATCTCATGAATACTCAAAAAAGAATGCAAATTTTAGATTGAGATGTGATATTCAAATTCATTTATTATAATTTGTAGCTTAGCTCATTTGATGGTAGATCCTCTTACTCCCCCTTTTATCTAATAATTTCTTCGATTTTAATTTATGATTACAATAAATAACTATACATATAATGAAAATCTATCACATTTCACTTAAATATACTTAATAAATTATATGAAATATAAGCACAATATGAATCATTTAGAAAAAATTACATTAAAACAAGGGTTATTCAATAACTTGAATGGAAGCATATGTAAGTGCAAATATTACATGAGTATCAGTCCCTTTATACTTATCAATCATTTATTTCTAATCATTTTTCATCCATATAGGTCCTTTGGCCGCTAAAGCATCAGAGGCTGCACAATAAATCGAGTTTTTTCTCTTATAAAAATTACAAACCCACTCTTAATGATTATCAATAAAATTTAAACAATATGTAAACATTATCCACTACCCACTATCAAATTAAATGACTCGTTTATTAATAAACGCTTATTATAATGTGTTACAAGTGTCAAGTATATGATGTATGTAAGAAGTTTGATTAAAAAATACAAATTTTCTATGAAACACTTTAATAGTTAAATATTAATATGTAACTATTAATCTCATATAGATAAAAGAAAATCAAGCATATGATATAAGACGGTCTCTATCAATATGATTTATCATTTAAAATAAAATATCCTGTCCCTATTCCTAGACATAGAGACGGTGTCTTCTCCAATATGATTTTCTGTGGAAAAGTGAAAACCGACAGCATAGTTTCTTCTTATCTGCTAAGGATCCACTTTCATTTTTAAAACAATATCATACTGAATACTGATATTAAATATAAATGTGGCTGTAATTAATATGCTTACAAGGAATTTATTACTTTTAATATTAATGCCATTTTTAATGAATTGGACCACTTTTACCTAATTTTAATTTCCTTACAAGCAGCAGACAAGTTAGCCTTGTTTCCTTTGTTTGGCTTCATTTATATTAAATTTATTATCCTACCAAGTGCCGTATTGTATTAGTGGTTTATAAGGGAAACCACAAAGCCTACTTGCACTCCCAGATGATGTTATAAAAACCTTATATGTTATTAAATTATCTAAGTGGGAATCTGAATATCAAATGTTATAGTGTCCCACTAAACGAAATAAGTTTTTTGAATTTAATTATGTAAAAGAGAATAAAACATTACAAACAAGTTTATACTATATGCAATTGAGTTGAGTTGACTAATTATCTGTTCCACTTTTCTTGTTCTAATTTATCTGTTTCTTTTTTCTTCAGAAAACTACTTTTTCATTGATTAGCATGAATATATGCATTAATTGATAACTAATTTATTGTACGAATCAGTTCAAGTAAAATTGATGATAACATGTTTACAAAAATAAAATAAAAAAATTGATGATAACATTAAAAATCAGTTTGTCCATATATGAGAACTATATGAAACTATCCTTGCTATAAGGGGGAGGGGGAGAACAACAGGAATTTTTTTTTGCTCTTGGTCTTATTTTAATTTGCTAGCCTAATTTTTTTTTTATAACATGAACCTAAATTATCTTTTTAATATTGCCAATTGAGTCAATTTTCAGGTTAAAATTTTTAGTGCTTGATCAATGTGAGGGGATTGGAAATGTCCAACCGGAAGTTGGTAATTGTATCTTAGATCAATATGCTCGCATGAGTCTATAAAAGAGACACTATAAGAGATAGTAGATCATTGTACATGAACACTAATAGCGTATAGCCGAAGGTGTAGAATATATGTACAGTGAAAGTTAAAAGAGCATGGAGTAGGGAACGGATATTTATTAGGCTTAATCCTTTATTTATATGTGGGATTATTTGTTGGTATAGAATCCTCATGGGAGTAGGACTATTGGAGAATAGGATAAGTGATTTTATTGCTTATCCCTTAGGCATAGAATATGAGATTTATTCTTATCTCTTTAGCTTGTCACTTATCGTTAGTGATATTACTAAAGACTATGGGTCTATGGGATGGACCCAGAACAATAATATTAGAGAAATTATTTGTTTACAAATTTTTTTTTACAAAATTTTACAAATTACACTATGTTCTCCCGGGAGAAGATAGTATGACTAGTGTTCTCCCGAGAGAAGATAGTGTATTTTGTAAGAATTTATAAACAAAAAAGTTTGTAAATATAACTTGCCTCATAATATTATGTTTTTCTTTTGGTTCTAGTCTAATGCTATCATTATTTAACTAAAACATTATGTCCCAATCCTCAATTAATTAAGTTCAGGTTAAAATAAAAAAGCATATAAATTACAACTTAATTAATTGTTTTTACATGGATATAGGAGACACTAACGTTAAACTTACAGCATTAGTTCTAATAAAGAACATTGAGCTGATCTTCTGAAAAAAAGAAAAAGCATTGTGCTCTCTTTGAAAATTCTAAATCATACTCATCTACTGTCAATTTTAATTTATTATCAATATAATTGATAATGTAGAATATGCGATCAAAATTAAACTTACCCCCATGAACATGAAACTATGCTTTTAGGGCGTTTGGTACAAGAGAAATTTTTATTTGTCCGGGAATCTCGATTTTTAAAAATATGATTTTTACATTCAGTTTACGATAATATCTGAAAATTTAAAATTTAAAAAAATTCAGTTTCCCAAAAATCCAGGAAAAAATCGTGTATCAAACGGCCCCTTAGTAGATAATATGGCACGAGTTATATTTGTCCATTGGTCTATTTACTCATAATTCATTTTACGCTTTGTCTGTATCGTAAAAACTATGAAGCACCGACACTTCAAAATCTTTGACGTGTCGTGTCTGACACTCCTCAACACTCCGACACTTTCTGACACTCCAATACTCATTGCAAAGATTCAATGGAGATTCAAAGGATTCGTTGTGTTGCATTTTGAGTTCCAACTATTAGATTCTCGTTGGATTACGATTACTATTTTATTAAGTTTAATATAAACATTTGGAATATTTTATGTTTCTTTGCAAAATTGATGGGTATTATAAGTTTAGCTTTATTTTTTGTTAAATTATTGAATATTAAATATAATATACATTATATAAATTAAAAATATTATATAATATCAAAACGTATCCTAACGTGTCAAAATATAATATTTTTAAAATTAACATATCAGAGTGTCATTTCGTGTCATATCTCGTGTCCCGTGTCGATATCGGTGCATCATAGCATAGAAATGTAAA